CTGCCATGTTGTTTGGTAACATTGGGACTGTGCCTTTTTACTTGTCAACCTTGGGCTTGTCAGCCTTAGCAGCCAGCAGCTGTCTGAGTGAGGAAAAGCCTCCAGCTTCAGTGAACCAGGAGCAGCAGACACAGCTAAAGCCCAAGGTTGAGGGGCTTTCACCCAGCCCCTAGATTCTGGTGCTTAAAGCCTCCAGACTATAAGAGTATAAACTGTTTGTTAAAGCCATCCCATTTGTGATGTGTTCTTGTCAGAGTAGCACTAGGTAACCAAAACACCATCTGTTGGAGATATGTTTCTTAAAACAATACTTAGCTGATCTATATGAGAAAGATCAGGAGTGGATCTTCAGATAAACTAAAATACCAAGCTATACTTATTTTACTGAAAATAATTGAATTTATCACTTTTATTTTATTTTTTTATTGGGATTTAGGTGAAGATTTACAGAGCTAATTCACTTTCTGTACAGCAGTTCACATACACTTTGTCTCATGACATTGACCACAATTTACCACAGTGCAACAGCTCCCCTCCCTCTTCTTCCCGATAATTACCTCTTCCCTGTGTCCATCCCTCCATGCATTGCTGCTCCCTGAGCTATCTCCCGGTATATAAGCAGCACTTGTTTCTCCCATGATTATTCTCTCCAAGGAGTGTATCTACCTCAGGTAAATGTTCAACTCATATGCCTGTCTTTTGCTTGGCTGAAAGCCACAGGTGTGGGTTCAATTTCAGACCTGAAGGCAGTTAGGGGCCATAGTCTCAGTGGTTCCACCAGGCTCTATCGGACCAGAAAACCTGCCCCCCCCCTTTTTTTTCTCCAAATGATTTTGAATTTTGTCCACATTGTTCTTCCTCTCTATCCAGGATCTCCTACATAGATCCCCTTGCAAGTGGTTGACATTGGTAGCGGGGCACCATCTAGTTCTTCTGGTCTCATAGTCATAAAAGCTGCAGATTGGATGTGTACCAGTTGCTAGGACTGATTATATCCATGAATTTTTGGTTTTCTTCATTCTTCTTTCACATTTTGTTTTAGGCATATATGATGGGTTGCCCTTTCCTGTTACCATATTTTGAGATGTGACCTGTTCAGTTTGTGGCTAAAACTGAGCAACAAGTTCAAAGCCCCAAAAAACTTCTATTTTATGGGAAACCAAGCACTTCATTTCTTCCTCAAGAGGATAGTCCATGTTCAATGATTGTTATAATGACAGCAATAAAGCCTTTGCAAAACAGCTTTCTAATACTGACATTCTTCATTAATTTGTGTTTCCATTTTATAAGTTAAGCCACAATTATGTCTTTGGTTTGAATATGACAACATTCGATCTCTGTGAATTGAGCTGTTTTTATGTTTTTCAGTCATATTTGAGTTGCACCAATCACTAAATCCATCCATAGCAAATTGACAATTAAATGATTTAGGACTGAATGATTTACAAATCAGAAGGAAGATGGGGCAATCTACTTCCGTAGTGATACTGCCTCGGAAACCCAAGGAGGGGTCACTATGAGTCGGGTCCGACTCGACGGCACATAACAACAAGAACAATAACAATTTACAAACAAAACAATATACAGAGTTGACTGATGGAGAATACAGGAGCCACTCCCTGTTACAATTTTCACCATTAGCTTTGCACCCTAGAAATACATTCTGGTTATAGAATCTTGTTTGTTTACTATCCGTAAATTTTTTACACAAATTTTCAAATGTTCCACTGTGATGTTGACAATCAAGTAAGTGGCTCTCTTTTGATCTAGTAATTTGTATCACTAGAAGAAAAATTATTCCACAAAGCAGGATCTGTATTGCTGTTTTTTATGGGATCTTCAGATGTGACAATTTCAGATTCAAAAATAATTTCATTTTCTATACCATTGTTAATTTTTTTTTAACTACAGCAAGGAATGGATACAGAATTTGGAACAAACTCTGTTATATTCATATTGCTATTAATTTCAGCCCTAGCAGTAGTAATACAGTGATTTGCATTCATTAAATGCTAGTGTTCAATGGAGGATATCTCCTCTGATTCATTACGTTTCAAAAAGGAAGTTAATTTTGGAACTGTCTTTAGGGATTCACAAATCCTTTTCTTTTTATCTTCTGCAAGCTTTCGTTTTTGTACTCCACTTAGTGTTGCCATTTCATTTTTCCTGGATATAAAATTCCATCACTTTTTAAATTTGTTTCTACCGAGGCAAACTCATTTAAATAACTGAAAATAAGTAAAATTTATAAAATGAAACTTCCGTTTGAATTTGGGCATTAGCACAAAAATTCATATTTGAAAATTAGTTAAGTAAAAAACATTGATTTGTAACACATGATTTTGTGCTTCAGGTCTGAGATAGTTAAAAGAAGTATAGTACTTACAAGGCAATCAGAAGTGATTTCTTTCATTTGTTGTACAAGATTGTTGGCGGCCCTTTGCAGAGTTCCACAAATGTTTTTCATCTTGAAATAATACTTAAAATATTTGCACATTTACTTTCCATCCTTTGATACTGCATTTTTATTGTTCATTGGCCTACTACAGATACCCAATGGAGATGAGAGTGATTGCAGAGAGCATGATACAAATACAAGGGTCTGCTCAATCTGAAGATGTGTTTTAGTTAGCATTGTGTAGGTCAAGACCAGATATGTCACAAGTCATGTTATTATAGTGCTGCTGGAAGATTCTTACATGGTCAACCAGAGAGAACTGAATGCGAGGTTATACCCAGTCAATCCAAAATGGAAAAGAAAATATAATTGTTACTATTCACAAAATTTGTAAAATGTACATTTTGTATGTGGAATTGTTCAATTCCCATATTTGAAGATACGTATGTAATTGATGTAACAATAGCTCCATTTTTCCATGAGCAAGTTTGTTTTGCAAGTCATAACAATATCAAACAATTTTTTAAAAGAAAGACTTTCTGAAGGGAAATGGAAAATAAGATACGTGTATATAATTTTTATTGTCTAAATAGTCATTAATTTTCTCTAGAAATTGCTGTTTCCTTACAGGGAGATATGTAAATATTCTGGTGAAACAGAAATGTAATATTCTGATAAATGTCCTTTCTTGATTTCTTGGAGGATGAATTTAGAAGCACACTCATTGTTGCAAAACAGAAACATATTTTACACAATATCTAAATATTGAACTTATTGATGTGCCTAATGCCTTGTTTAATAGCATATATAGAATAATATCAAGCATTGTGTCTCAATGCAGCAGACAATTAAAAATGAAGCTCATCTGGTACATAAATTAAAACTTTTCCTGTAGATAAAAATTTGTATTTCTGGTTTTTTTTTTTTTTTTTTTGGACATTTGTATGTTAGTATTACGTTAAATAGGAGCTCTGGTAGCATAGTGCCTGAGGCACTTGACTGCTAACCAGAAGGCTGGTGTTTCAAAGCCAACAGCCACTCCTTGGAAGGAAGGTTGGGCAATCTACTTGCATAGTGATACTGCCTTGGAAACCCAAGGAGGGGTCACTGTGAGTCGGGGCTGACTCAATGGCACATAACAACAACAACAACATTATGTTAAATTGTTGCCTGTGTTAGTATCATATTAAATGTAGACTAGATTATGTCTGCATGTATGCCAAACATTAAGTTATAAATATTATAGTTTAAAAAAACTTAGGACATAGCTCTATTTGTAAATGCTATACCGTTGAAAAAAAAATAATAATAACTTGATTGGATTTATTGTAATGGTCAACTTATTCAGCTTCCTTCATTTTTATATATCATCTGGAACTTGAATGCTTATTAGTTGTTTACCAGGACAAATGTAAGTGTTTTGTATGATGGCAAAGATCATGGCTGGAGTCTCTGGATCAGCAGATGTGGTTATACAAGACAGTTCTCTCAAAATGGACCAGAGACCTGTTATCTATTAATATAATCTGCCCTTGCCAAGTTGGATCCAGTTGCATATTTGGTGAATGTTGCAAGAATTACAACAGCCCACTCCCACCTCTTGTTTGTTAGAAAAAAATACTGTAATCCCAAGAGAACTGCCAAGATTAGGAGTTTAAGTTATACAGGAGGGAACCGTAGGAGACATGGAGCGAAGGTGTTGAAGTGGTAGGGGCTTCACAGCTCAAACAACCTTGCACGTAGGTGCCCTCGTAACCCTGTGTGAGCTTTATTTTGAGCCAGCACATTCTCACTCACCAGAGCTGGTGTCAATTTCATTTAGTGCCCTGCCAGTTCCCTTCCACTGTGGCATTCACTTTTCCTTGTGTCCTGTCTACTTGGCATCTAAGGGTCTTTGCTGTGAACAACTGGTGTCCTGTGTTTTATTGATGACCTAAGCACGTGTTTGACTTGCTTACTGGGTAATCCATCCCTGGTCACCATGTAAAATGTTTTTCTTACTGTGTGTCACACTTTTGAAAGCTTGAAAAATGTTTCCAGGCATAGAGGGCTGACTGGTGGGGTTGGTGAGCCTAGCCTGGGTGCCCACCTAAGCCTGAGATGATATGGGTCAGCCTGGCTTGAAGGGATTGAGAGATGAGGATGGGTTCAGATACTGGAATTGATTGGTTGCAGTGGGTGAAAAAGGAGAATTTGAGGCTGACTCAAGTGAAAAATGTCTGACACCAGCCCAAGGTTCTTGGGCCAAGATAATAACATTTTGTTTGAAATACTGTCTTTGTCCCTTTCTGGTGGTAAACCAGAAGCCTGGATTTTAGGGTTGCTTTGAAGGAGAAAGGCTCCTTCCTATTCTCTGATCGTTAACTTCACAGGCTGTGAGCATTCCAGTATTTCAACTCTGACTTTCATTTCCATTATTATTTTCAAATAAAGCTCCTTCCTAGTGTCTACTTGTTTCATTCTGTTGTACATAGATAGAGTCACTATGAGTTGGAGATGACTTGATGGCACCTAACAACAACCTACTGCCTGCAGGTTTGATGAAGATGTCTTTGTGGAAACTAGGCTGCTAATGATCCTGCTTTTGCTGTTCTCTCACTAGGAACATTGTGAAAGGCATGAGAGAGCTCCGGGAGGTCCTGAGGACTGTGGAGACCAAAGCAACCCAGAACTTCAAAGTGGTAACTTGGAGGTGGCCCTGGGGCTGGGGCTGGTGCTGGCTGGGGCTCAGTTATTCAGGGGTCAGATTTCAATGGGAGACAACGAAAGTCCTGGCAGGCAGCCCCTGACCCAGCGATGGCAATATATTGCCTGTTTGCTTCTCTTCTCCCCATCTATGCTCGTGACAGACACTGTTAATCAGTCTCAGCCCTCTTTCCCACTGGGCATGGGAAGTACCCTCTGCATCCTTCTTGTCCCAGCATAGTACCTATCCCTAGCGTTGATGAGAGTAGAAACCTCTAGCTCTCCCTTCCCTGAGCAAAACTGTGTCTCACAGGGTGGTGTGCTAGTTCTTAAGGATCTGTTTGTGATTTGGCTGAGAAACATTGACATTGCTATCCTGTCGTAACTCAGACCTACTTTTTAGGCCCTGATGTTGTTGTTGTTGTTGTTATTTGCCATCGAGTCAGCCCCGACTCCTAGCGACCCCTCCTTGGTCCTGATGTTAGTTCACCCAAAATCGGAACCACCACTGCTTCTAGCTCTAGCATTTTCAGTCAGGTAACAGTCGCAACTTCTGGCAGAGAGAGTGGTATGCACCTGTGGCTTTATGCTTTTCTCCAACTCTGCAAGGGCCTGATGAGTACTCAGAGCTGTGTTAGGCTCCATGAATTTAGGAGGAGGAGGAAACATACCTCTTGTCTAGGAGAAGAGATAAGGTAAAAAATTAATGTAGCGCTTGTTCAAGGCAGCCAAAGGGTGGGGCCGTGCTCTGGGAACTGAGTAGCAAGGCAGGTCTTTGGGAGTGGAGTAGTGGAGCCGTACGTTGTAAGGCGGGCAGGTTTGACAGTGGTGGGAGGAGGGCATTCTAGGCCCTATCGGAGAAGAGCGACATGGTTCCTGGGTCTCAGTTCTTCCCTTTCTTCCTGTAGATGGCAGCCAAGCATCTCGCAGGGGTCCTGCTCCACTCCCTGAGTGAGGAGTGCTACTGGAGCCCTCTGTCCCAGCCTCTGCCCGAGTTCATGAGCAAGGAGGAAAATTCCTTCATTACACAGGCCCTTCGGAAACCTCATCTCTACGAAGGAGACAAGTAAGCTCTGCCTGCCCCGCTGGACCACGCCAGCCTCATGTTCACACTCTGCATCTAATCCCTGCTCCTAGCCCCTCTCCCTGCCCCATGCCATCTTCCAGCCACCATCCAGTTCGTGGCCAGGCAGGCCCTTTGGGGTCAGCAGCCGCCAAGGAGGGTAGAGAAGGCAAGTCTTAGAGTGGGGGCTGGAGGTGAGGGAGAACCCTGTAAGGCTTCCACAGGCCAAACAAATTACTTGGCGGTTATCTGCCTTCCTAGTAGTCTCTCTTATTTGTGCCAGTAAGTGAAGGCTGGACCTGTGACCAACCAGGCAGAGTCACTTTCTTACTAGTCCCACTCCTTGCCCAGCCCTCCTACATTTGGGTGGGTGCTGGAGGGGACATCCATTATGCCAGAGAATCTGCTGTATGATAATGTGTAACATAATGTGTAACTCTGGCATGTTTAAGAGCTGCAGACAGCATCTGGTACCTGTGAATTATGCAGGAGAGGGTCACCTTACCAGGGCTGGTGCTGACTCCGGGGCAGAAGGGCCAGGTGGTGGGGCCAGCAGGGCTGCTTCGTTGTTGGAGCCAGGGCTGCTGTTTCTATCTTTCAGCCTCTACTGCCCAAAGGATAACATCGAGGAAGCGCTCCTGCTGCTCCTCATCAGTGAGTCCATGGTAAGCCTCAGGGGGTCCTCAGGAACTTTGGACCCTGTGGGCTGGGGATGCGGGCTTCAGGCACTCGCTGCTAGATCCCAGCAAAGCTCTGTCTCCCAGGGGTGTCCCTGAACAAGGAGCTTCTTGGACCTACTCCCCCACACAAGGGGCAAGTCTCACTCACAAGGTTTGGGCCTGGGTGCTCAGGCCTGCATTTGGGGGCCCAGGACCTGCTGCCAGATGAATAGGGATTGAGGGAGACCACCTCTTCTGAGATGACAGAAAAAGAACGTCAAGCAGTCAGCAGTATGTGTTGATCAGCCCTGTGCTAGGTGCTGTGACAGACAGGAGCCAGTGGCAGGAACAGGAGCTTTGGAGGCAGAGGTCTATATTCAGGGTCCATCCAACTCTGCCTCCCATTAGCTGAGGGTTGTTAGTTAGCAAGTCACTTAATCTCAGTGAGCCTCAGTTTCCTGGGCTGTCAAATGACAGTAACTCAGAGGTCATTGTGCTGACAGGAGGAACTCAGTTGTTCATTGAGTTGCTGTTTAGTGAGTATCTGCTTAGTGCCAGGCCCTCTTCTAGATGCCAGAGATGCAACAGCAAACAAAACTGAGAAAACTCCCTGCCTATGTGGAACTTACATTCTAATGAGGGGAGGTGGACAGTATATTATTATGTAAAACATCCAGTGTATCAGTGTGTACATGCTATAGAAAAAGAGCAGAGGAGGGAATGAGAGGTCTAGACAACACACACATAGAATGCTGGGTAGATATGTTCACGAGACCTGCCTGCTGTGCCCTGGGCAGAGATATAAGGCAAATAGCCATAGTACCAGGCAGTGGTGGCCAAGTACCCCACAGTGCTCCCAGCACAAAGTGCTTTGTTGTTCAGAGAAGCAGGGGAACTGTGTGGTTGGGTGGTCCAGGAGGTGGTGAGATCAAAAGCAGATGGGGCTGATTCAAGGTGGGGAGAGCGGCAGGGACAGCAGAAACTGACTGGAGGTGAGGTCCCCTGACAGAGGGGCCTAGAGAATGTGTGAGGGTAGCCAGCAAAGTGAGGTTCTTTACCTGCATCTGGAAGCAGTGGGTAGAAGTGAAGATTAAGAAACAAAAACCCTATGAAAGGAACTCCTCAACAGCCAGGAGTGATGTTCCTCTGTATATCTGGAACCACATGAGGCAGAGCTTAGGTAGAGAACTGTAGTCAGGGGGTTGCTTCTGGCTCAGTAAGTCTCCTGGCAGGTAGACAGGAAGAGGGATGCTGGAGTATGTTAGGCCAGGGTGAAAAAATGGACTCCTTCCACCAGCCAGCCCTAGCCATTTAGGGTCCGAGAGTTCCTGTGAAGGGGCATGGATGTGCTTGTGAGGTGGGTGAGTGGTTGCTCAAGGACATAGCTGGTTGAGCAGATGTGGAGATAGAAGTACTGTATCACTCAGTGTTCTCCAGGGAAATGGAACCAATAGGATATGTGTGTGTGTGTATGTGTACGTGTATGTATATGTGTATGTGTACATATATATATAGAGAGAGGGGTGGATTTATTTTAAAAGATTGCTTCCCATAATTGTAGGGCCTGGCAAGTCCAAAATCTGCAGGCCAGGCTACAAACTGGATACTCAGACAGGATATTCATATTATAATCTTGAGGCAAAAAGTTTTCTGCCTGAAGAAACCTTAGTGTTTGCTCTAAGGGTCTTCAACTGATTGGCTGAGGCCCACCCACATTGCGTAGAATAATGTGCTTCAGTTAGAGTCAACAGATTCAAATGGTAATCATGTCTACAAAATACTTTCACAACCACATCTAAACTAGTGTTTCACCAAACAGCTGGGCATCATAGCCTAGCCAAACCAAACCAAAAACCAAACTCACTGCCGATCAGTCAGATCCAACTCATAGCAACTCCTCCTTGGGTTTCCGAGGCAGTATCACTACAGAAGTAGATTGCGCAACCTTCCTTCCAAGGAGTGGCTGGTGGGTTTGAACCACCAGCCTTCTGTTTAGCAGTCAAATGCCTTAGGCACTATGCCGCCAGAGCTCCTTAGCCTAGCCAAGTTGACATAAAGTTAACCATCACGGGGACCCAAGTGGCAGATCTGATTTTCATAGGAGAACAGTGAACTTTTCACGGAAAATGGGCCCTGACTCTGATCACACTCTGAACCCTTGTTTCTAATTATGGAACCCCAGACCAACACCCCTCCCTGCCCCTACACATCCACTTGGGTTGGCTGTGTCACACCTTCTCCCTTAAGTGAGACCATACTGCAGTCACCTGTCTCAGGAAACATGGGTGGGTCATCATTGTCACCCTCGTATGCTGAGGATTACAGTGTAGTTCACAAGTGGGTGGTAAAAAAGGTGAAAACAGGAATTTCTTCTAGGTTCTTTCTCTGCCAGTTTCTAAACTGATGATCTCATTTAGGCAGGCATTATGCTGATCCAGTTTGCAATTGTGGATGACCTATAAAATCAACAGTTTCATATGGTTCAGTCTAAAACTGATGGGTTCCCATTTTACAGATTAGAAAAGTACGGTCTATCATCTGTGTGAGACTAAGCAGTCAACATTTACTCTAAAGCAAAGATGAGAAGGCAAGGGTGCAGGGAAACTAGAGTCCTAGAAACGGGACAACCTGAATGAAAATAATGAGAAAGTTGATACACCATGAAAAATGTAACCTATATCACAGAATAAATTGTGTAGAAATGTTAAATGGGAACCTGGTTTGGTGTGTAAACTTTCACCAAGCACACAATAAAATATTTTTTAAATGAAGTGAAGTCTAGAATGGGTATGCATCTTGGCCCTGACCACACACTAATAAGTTTTGCAGTCATGATTCAAACCATGTCAATCTCCCTAAATAGCCTCCAAAGCACAGGACATGGAGCCCTGGCTCCTGGGTTTCAGTCCTGATTCTACCATTTACAAACTGCTCCGATCCTCTGGTTTTTCATCTGTAAAAGGGGTGAGAAGGTAATTTTGAGGATTAAATGTGATGAGGCTTGGGGAGGGTTTTGTAAATGGGGAGATGCTCGTCTGTGTGAGAATTGTCGTCGTTTTTATCCTCAGCAGGGACTGAAGCTCCATTTTCGGTGGCCTCTGCTTGATCTGAGTCCCCAGAACTCAGAATTCTGGTGCCTTTTCATTAAAGTTGTTGTCCCCCCAAATCCTGAAGCTGATCAATATTTCAAAGTGGAGAGTGGCCTTTTACTGAAAAGTAGCCCACACTTGGACCCCAAGGTGAAGTTTTCCTAAATACAAGGTTTCCCTTCAAGCAGATCTGTCCTTTTGCAAAAAGAGGTGTAAATGGCTTTCTGGCCTGCCCAGGAGGCTCAGGGGAGTCCAGGCCAGCTGGCTGTGAAGGTGTCCTGGGAAGGTCCTGTAGGACATAAGGCAGATAAATTGTTCATATGCTGTTTTCACTGTAGCTCATAGGGACACCTCTCACATTTCTGGCTTGTTCGTTTCCTCTTCTTCATACCCAGCCTGTCAGACATGTAGAAACTTCAGGAGTTTGGGGCAGAGTATTGGTGATGGACTTAGCTTTGCTGTCTCATCTACAGAGGCTTTCTACCTGGGAGCTGGATTTGTCCTCTGGCTTGAAGCTGGTTTTCAGGGTGACCAGACTTCCTCTGGCTTCTCTCCTGCCCTTGTTTTGCATTCTTCTTCCTTCCCTCCAGTCCCATTTTTAATCAGGGATGGAACTAGGGTATCCCAGACTCCTGCACAGATCCCTCAGCTGAACCCTGAGGCTCAGCCTGGGCTCCATGGAGCCATAGGTTTCCCTCATCTCCCTTTAATGGTGGCTAAGTTTGATTACAGATGGTGCCTGGAGGAGAAACCTAGAACAGCAGCTGGCTGCCTTGACTTCTCCTTGTATTCTTCTACTACCTGCAGGATTCAGGTATCAGGTATTTCCCAGGGTGCCTGCATGGCTGTAGTAAAAGCTATTCTAGTTCAGCCAGCGTAGGAGGTATAGTAATCATAGTTCCTCACCTAGGGGACTGCCAGAGCAGCTGCTCCAGGAAGGGAGCATGCCAGCCCCTATTTTGTGGTTTGGTACCCAGAGCAGTAGCTGCATGGAGTCTACATGTGGGGCTGGTCCCTTAGACATGGTTTTTGCTAAGGGCAGAATGTGTGTGATCAGAATGAATGAGGAAACCATTGTCTTTCAAGAGGTAAATAGAAGTGCTTTTATGGGAATGCAAGTTATCACTGGTTAGATTGGTGTTTTAGATCCAGTTTTGAGGTTTCCAGGCCAAAAGGGCGTTTTGAAATCTATCCAGCCATTAATCCACTCATCTACCCACCCATACGGTCTCATTTGAGCAGCTGCAATGTGCTGGGCTTATGCTAAGCACTGGAGATACAATGAACATTTCAACATAGCCCCTGCCCCAGAGGAACTATCCCCTAGTACGGTATATGGCCAGGGATATGGAGGAAATCCTGATCACAAAAGCAAAAGGAATTATCCCAATCCACTGAACCCCAAACACAAATGGTAGTTTTTGAAAGAATCATATTTCAATCATCCTGACTTTCTCAGTCAGGGAACCAGGAGGTACTGGCTTTTTTTTTTTTTTTTTTTGTCATTTCAAAACTGCTCATTATGGCATAAAAATATGTGTGAAAGCAAGCTGAATCTTGGATCCCCATTTCATTCAGCTAGGGTGACTTTACTGCTGGTGTCAGGCTCTTGGAAACTGAAAGGGTATGGATACCTGGTTTGGAATGTGGATGGGGTGGTATGGGCCAAGCTTCTGGGTTCTGAGACCCCAGACTTTGTGTCTGCCCAACACTGGGCATCTCGCCCCTGAAATCTTTAACTTACCATTCACTGCCTAGGTGACCCTGCACAAGTTTCTTACCTCCCTGAGCCTCAGTTTCCTCATTTGGAAGTGGGGCTGATGGGGCCTTTTTTGGAGAAGTTTGATGGATTAGGTAAGAAACTAAACATGGAGGTACCTTGTACATTGTGGATGTACAGTGAATTTTCAGTTTGTC